AGCAAACCTTTTTAGACCCACTCTCCTGATCAGCGTGTCCAGCCAATCTATAATCTCTATTCAATAGCTAAATCATTGTTCAGGAAGAGACTCATCTCTATTTCACAGTTAAACCATAGTTAAGCCATTGTCTAGGAAGAAAACCTTGAGAGCAACCAAGACTTTTTCGCCATTGTCCAGGAAGAAAACCTTGAGAGCAACAAAGACCTTCTCTTACTAAAAGGGCAGTCACCCAAAATTTTCATGGGAATCACTTATCTTCCCAAAATCTTAATGGGAATCACTTTCTACAAAAAGCCAGCATCTCAATCTACATGAGGCACATCCATAGTGTTTCTCTCCATAGGAGGCTCTCTTCTCTCTAAGGGCATCCATAGTTTTTCTCTCCATAGGAAGCTCTCTTCTCTCTAAGGGGAGGTTTCGCCTGTCATGCACAGGAGGTCCCTACCGTCTCTCTCTCGGTGTTTCTCTCCATAGAAAGCTCTCTTCTCTCTAAAGAGAGACTTTACTTGTCATGCACAAGAGGTACCTTTCCTCGGAAGGCCTCTCTCTCTCTAGAGGAAGCCATCTTTCCCCGGAAGCCACCTTTTCCAAATGGTGACCCAAATAGGGCACATTGGTCTTTCATCTTTCATCCCTGATCAATATCAATCTCAATCCCACATACTATGATTTTCATTATGTGGGTGATTTTAGATATCAAATCTCAATCCAACATACCATGATATTTCTTTATGTGGGTGATTTTAGATATCACTATATGCACCATTTTTAGTTATAACTATTTTCAAGATTTTTAAGTATTTATAGATATGTTTGATCGTCACTATTTTTTGAACTTAAAATTTCAATAGGGCACATTGGTCTTTCATTTTTCATCTCTAATCAATATCAATCTCAATCCCACATACTATGATTTTCATTATGTGAGTGAATTTAGATATCAAATCTCAATCTTTCATCTTTTATCCCTGATCAATATCCATCTCAATCCCACATACTATGATCAATCTCAATCCCACATACTATGGTTTTTATTATGTGGGTGATTTTAGATATCAAATCTCAATCCCAATCCCACATACTATGATATTTCCTTATGTGGGTGAGTTTAGATATCACTATGATCAATCTCAATCCCACATACTATGATTTTCATTATGTGGGTGATTTTAGATATCAAATCTCAATCCCAATCCCACATACTATGATATTTCATATGTGGGTGAGTTTAGATATCACTATATGCAACATTTTTAATTATCACTATTTTCAAGATTTTAAGTGTTTATAGATATGTTTGATCGTCACTATTTTGAAACTTAAAATTTAATAATTGAAAAAGTTAGATTTTTAAGTGTTTATAGATATATTTGATCGTCACTATTTTTTAAACTTAAAATTTCATAATTGAAAAAGTACAATTGGCCAACCTTCATCAACAAGCCATGGAAAAAGTACAATTGGCCAGCCTAGATTTTTAAGTGTTTATAAATAGTACAATTGGCCAGCTTAAGATTTAAATTTTTAAGTGTTTATAAGTAGTACAATTGGCCAGCTTAAGATTTTTAAATTACCATCACAATTTATGAAGTGTTGATAGATATATTTGATCATCACAATTTATGAAAAAAGTACCATCACAATTTATGAAGTGTTGATAGATATATTTGATCATCACAATTTATGAAAAAGTCCACAAGTCATGGGGAAAGCACAATCGGCCAGCTTTCATCTACAAGCCTTGTGGCATAACCATCTGCTGCAGTTTTTCTCGGCACACCGTGCAAGCCCAAAGCCTTTCTCTTCCTAAATTCCCTGATGTGGGACTTGCTCCATCGGCTGCTGTATAATAACGTGTAGTTCTTGCTAGGTGCTTTCACCAGGTGCTACAAGTGTAGTCCATCCCTTAGCACTGCAAGCGTAGTTTTCACTAAGTGTTCTCACCAGTTGCTCCAAGTGTGTAATAAACACTGTGTTGTATAATAACGCGCAGTCCAGCTCCAAGCGTCTTCAAAATAACGCGTAGTTTTTACAGGTGTTATTGTGTAATTATAAATATTTCTAATACTATAAACAAAAAAATTCTATTTAATTATTTAATAATATTTATTCCTTTTTTATAATGTACAAAAGTAAAAAGTACATAGTTAAGTTTTAATTGCATATAATTACATAAATAGTTAAGTTTTAATTGCATATAATTACATAAAAAATTCTATTTAATTCATTTACAAAAATTAGTATAATTATATTGAAAGTCGTATTGTTTATTTATCTTAATAACTTGTTAAACTTATGTCAGTATAATCATATGAATATGATCACATTACAATTTATAGGGGATTTTATTTTGTTTTTAATCATATGATATGGAAGTATTTTTCTACTAATATTTAATCATGTTTATTATTATATTATAATTAACAATTATACATTGATAACCAAATCTTGTATTTTATTTATTAATTTATTTATATTATAAATTTGTAATATATTACTTTTTCTTATAATTGTAAATAAGATTTTTTAAATTAGATGATATTATAAGATATTTTATATTTTTTTATTTGTATAATAAAATAATTATAAAATATAAATTTATGAACCAACAACTTCAATTTCAATATATACTATTATACTTAGTTAGATTGTAATAATTTTGGATGAGTAAAACAAAATAATAAATGTTTGATACTTTGATGTGATACTAATTTCACTTTATGTGTATAGTAAAATGATGATAAAAAAATAAAATACAAACCAATACTTGTAATTTCAATGTATAAAATCTCATAATAAGAAAACGCAAACAATGGAAGGTGAAGTACTACGTAATACATTACCTGCAAATATATCTGGAAATATATTGTTTGTAAAATATATTACTGGCGTAATGCATTACTACGTAATACATTACCTGTAAATGGATTGTTACTATTTGGATAGTATTTAGATTCAACCTGAGAAATGCATTGTTATTGTTTGGCTATGTCTGGAAGAAAGATACGAAATGCAGTACCAATATTTTACCGGCACGTGCCTATAAACTATCATTTCTTTCTTTTTTGTCACAAAATTCTATTAAAATGTAGAATTATCATTTCTTTCTATTTTGTTACAAAATTTACTACAATATGGAATTAAAATCATCATCACACCATTCTAAAAAGAATTTTAATAATAATATCATCACCATTCCAAACAGATTTTCTAATAATAACTTATACCATTTTACCGTCATTGTGACACCATTTCTTACTTATTTTACATGCCTTTAGCACTTATATGGAATCACATGTCTTCTAACATGATATTGGTTTCAACATGATAAATCATTGGAACAATATGATTGGAATAACATGATTTTATTATGATAAGCCTTATTTTTATTTATTTCTTATATAAGTCTTTCAAATGTCTCTATATATAATTTCAAATAAACAATAAATTTATGATACTAAATTCAAAATCTTTATGGTACAAGTTAAAAAATGAGAAGAAGTTTGATTAGTAAACTAGAAGGTTTTGTAATTGCAATATAAATTTTTAAGGTATTGGAAGGGACGAAAGAGGTATATTATTTCAATTGAGATTTTAATAATCTCTTATAAGGATTATGTTGCATGAAATTTTTTATTATGATTGTGTTCATTAATTACTGATTTTTATTTTATTATTTTTTATTTTATATGACAACGCCTTCAGAGGAGGGGAGCTTAAAAAGGGAGAAATTTTTTTTAATCAGAATAGGATGGGCAAAAAACAAACGCTAAACTTTTCCCAAAATTACCCGTAACTCTAATTTTTCACCTATCACCTGGTGTAATGGATTTCTTGATTTTTTGGGAAATCTCGAGTAATTTCTTTCTATTTTCTTATAAAGTGTACCCAAACAATAAAAATGTCATATTTCATTGTAATTTATTATCACGTAATAGATTTCCAGGTACTTAAACGGCCCCGAAACTTTATTTATTAAAACTGATGGAGATGGAAAAAATATAAAACATGTTACTAAACAAATAAGGTTCAAGAGCACTCTTGGCATAATCGAATAATCAAAATGTACAACAAAAGAAAGAAAAGAAAAAAAAGAAGAAAAAATCGATTCCAAATCAAAATAAACCAATTAGAAGACAAAGCAATGGGAAACCAAATTCATTCCCATTGTATTAAGACTTTAAGGACATACTTTTCTCTTTTTTTTTCGCGATAAAACTGAGCCAGATGGTTCCAACGGCCTCATGTTTTTTATTTTTTTACTTTTTATTTTATAAATATATTCACTATTGTTTAATCTAACCATGAAACACCTTTTATAATAATAAATAAAAATTGTTTGCTCTATTTTGGGTCACTGTGTAGAAAAGGTTGTTTCATGTAGAGAAGTTGATTCTCCTGCACTAATTTGTTATTCTTTTTACCGAAGTGATTCCAATAGTAGTTTTACGTGCTATCTCTTTTTGGAGATAGAAAGTCTCGGTTGCTATCAGGGTTATCTTTTTATAAAATGATTTAGTTATAAAATATCTATAATTCTAAAAAGATTGCTCGATTAGGTTTTGTCCAGAGTCAGAGCAATTACTTTGTGTCCTAAAATATATAATGTAACTCTCATTGGTATAATGAATTTTAGTTTGATATAGCTATAGATGTAGCCCCTTAGTGGTAAACCACGACAACCTTTGTGTTGTAATAGTATGTGTATTTTTATACTTCATGTTCTCACACTTGCAGTAATGATTTAAACTTCTGCTCATATTATTATGGACCCGATTTCTATGCAGCCAAGCCTGCATATGTAGAAATACAGGCCTCTTAATAAATCTATTCTTGAGATGGATTTTAAGACTTAATTTTTAAGGACATGTAATATCTAACATGGAGATCATGAATATGAAAAATAAATAGATTTTAAAAACTAAAAATAATAATTCTAATAAGAAAACATTTGGACTGTTAGTTTTTATTGTTTTTAGATGGAAGACCTACTTGCATCCATCTTTAAGGTGGATGCTCTACACTTTCTTGACCTCGTATGTAGAAATGCGGTCCAGCCCGCATGAAACAATTTTCCTATTATTATTTAGCCGGTTCAGCACACGGTACCGATGAGATCTAACATCCAAGTTCCTGTGAGGGATTATTAAACCCTAAGACCGTGCTTGCCCCGCGATTTTTATAAGATTTTTGAGGCATGGGCTAGCAATAACGTTCTTATTGTAATGTTTCAATAGTGGAGGCCATGATCAATGGGAACCACCAATCAAGAAATTTCTAAGGGTGTGATTGTGAGTGTTTGCTGGCCTCACAAATTGTTTTTGCTATTCCTTTGGTTATTTATCTGCATATTTGGAAACTTGTATCCATTCATTGCTTAGAGTGCTTTCTTTGATTCAAGTTAAAAGTGGATTTGCTGCAAAATTTGTTCTTATGACTCAATTAATGGGTGGAGGAATTTGACTAAGTTCAGTAAAGTATCAAGAATGTTTTCCATTTTCTCTTTTCGGTGGTTATAGCTTTAGTATTCGACCTTGGAATGTGATGCTACAATTGTAAAAAACTTAACCAATTAAGACGAAGCGTGATTCCTAGAAGCAACAACCAAATTGTTTGTCAATGTTATCCACAAATGCTGATGAAAATGAACAATCTTTCCTATGTTTGGGCTTTCATGTATTGTTTTTAACCATTGTAGCCTTTATTAATGACGTCAGATTCTCATGCTAATAGCACCAGATGTACTAGTTGATCCGCAATGTTATAATCCTTTTTTTTCAGTCTTATGAGTTTTTATAATCAACTTCTTTTTTTTTGGTAATCATCGATTGTAACCAGTGTTTTAAAAATAACATGAGAACCTAAATGAGTGTTTCTCTTACCAAATGTGCCATGAATCTTATCTTGTAGCCTATTGATCTAGAGATCAACATATTGCTCTTATAGCCTCATAATTCGAAAGCCAGTGTCTTGTAACTAGTTAACATAGAAAGACAATGCTGACCAGAAAGCACATTGTTTCCTTGAATTAGGCTCCAACATATTTTGCTAGTTTATAGTGGAGGTTGTTTAGAAACTGGCTGGATCAACTACCTTGGTAAAGGATCATATGCTTGTTCTATTTCCTTATTACTTGAATCAGTGGGAGTGCTTGATAATTTGAATTCCTTTCTTGAACCTCTCAAACGAGACCATTCCAGCTCTATACAAATCCTCAGTTCACTGATAACAGTGCTCATGTTGGGTCTTTGTTTGGCAGTGTCTGGTGTACATGCCAGTGCTGTCTTTGCTGCTTTCCACATCAAATCAATGTCGTACTCTCCTTGCAATCTTGGATCAACCACCCTAACGATGGCCCCATTAGCAAGCTCGGAAACTATATATTGTACAATGTGAATTTTTCTTTCATTAATAATTATTGCTGGCTGCCCTGTGATGAGCTCTAAGAGAACAATGCCAAAGCCGTAAACATCACTCTTCTCATTGAGTGTGTACTGAGTGTGATACCTCCAGTTGGTGGAGTCAGTTATGCTTTTACTTAATATACCCTAAAAGAGAGAATTCTTTTCAATCCACAGAAAATTGATCTTTTATGATGTTGTTTTTCTTCTATGGTTGGTGGCTGGACTTCTTGAATTGTCTATTGGCTCTAGGCTTACATGGTGGAAATGGATAGAAAATGAAAGAATATCCAAGTTATTACCTCGTAAGAATCTAGGAACAATATTTAGAAGCAAAACTAAATATTCTGGTATCAGATTGTTTGGAAGTAACATTCATGTTTTGTAAAAAACATAACTAAATTAAAACTGGCAAAATGGTGAAATTTTTACACAAGGGTTTTTTGTAGCTATGGTCCTCTCCGTCTCCCCCCTGACACTAACACAACAGTAAAAGAAAATAAAATAAAAAATTGGGGCAACTAAGGGAATCATTTCAGCTTATAGGAATTGAGAGCTCTGTGGCATATAGATGGAATTCACAGGGTAGTAAAAAATAAAAGAACCAAGAAAGTCTTCCCCTAGTAGCCTTTCTTCTAGCAGGGTTGGTTTTGGCTTGAGAGGTCCACAAAATAATCTGACATGTTTAGCTTTGTGTATTTCTTTGCCAAAATCCTTTTAGTGAGAAAGCTAAAGGATTGGAAGGTGGAGGATGCATGAAGGTCGGGAATACGGAGAGGAGAGATAAGAAAATAAAACAAGGTTTTTTTTACTCTAATTGTTATTTGGTTTGGTGGTTATGTTTTTTTCTGTTCAATAACTTACTCGGGATCCACATAACCTAGGGTGCCAACAGCTGCAGTTGATATATGACCATCTCCTTCAGTTGGCCCAAATCTAGACATGCTTCCATCTTTTCATTTAAGAGGATGTTGGAAGTGTTGACATCGCTATGAATGATTGGTGGCTTGCTTCCATTATGAAGATACTCCAATCCTACAACTAACCCAAAATATGTGGTGATAAATTTAGAAAAGGAATATAGAAGGAAGCTAGGCATGTTTACATGCATACCTTGTGCAGCACTAAGGGCTATTTGAAGACGACGTGCCCAATTTAAGACTCTGGGTTTGCTACTCTTGTCTGTATCAAATTGCATACTTCCGCATTCTTTTTATTCCTTGTGCTTTATGAACTTTATAATGGCCTAAGCTCATACTTCAATTTAAAATGCTGAGGGAAATGTACTCAATGAAATGTTGATATCTTAAGAGTGAAACATGTATTGGAACTCAGTAGATTGCATTGTTTTAATTGAAGCTATAATGATCTATGCAACATGCATGGGTTCAGGACAAGGTATATAAATTGAAAATCATAGCTATAGTAGCACAATGGTAATATAGCATGCTATATGCACTCTTCCACCCTTCAGAATATCTCTCTCTGGAAATCATTCTCCAGAAGAGAGATTTCCTATGAGATGGGAAAATGGCTCCATATCTTTAAAGGTATGAAGCCGCTTTCCCATGAAATGCCACTATTTTGTATGGTGGTCTGAATCTTGAGTGCTTTTGATCGTTGCATCTTTCTCACAAAACAATCATGGGAAAGTGGTGATCCAGCAGAAAATCTCTCTCCATGAGAGAGATATCGTACGAGACAAACATGCCCATAAAGACATATTCAATCGTAGAATTGCGGTAAAATACTTTGCAGATTAGTTTCTTTATTGAGTTCTACCAACCTATGGATTATGAGTCGCAATAATTATCTTCAAGTGCGAAGTAGTAGTACATGTCAAAATTAGAGTTTCAAACTATAGTCACAAGTGTCGATCTTATGAGGTGATCTCATTGCTTTCAGTTTTTGACTACCTTTTGAGTATTATCTGTCTCTTATCATCATTATTGATTTAGCTGTGATCTGAATTTTATATTCTACTTATCTTCTATTTCTTTATTGTTTTAACCACTTTCCTCTGGTCTCTTGCAAAATTAAAAGTGTTGTTGGCATTTTTAGCAACTGAACTTCTTCCTTGTCCAATTTGCAACTACGGAGTTGTCTTTTAAGATGTCAGTTTGTTGAAAATGACCTGTATCTGTTACTTTCAGGTCATGTGATTTTAGTTGAGCAGTAAATTTTTCTGGAGTGAATGTTGTTCTTTAGAAAAGTCCAAAAATAGCTCATCCAGTTAACTGTGGAAGATGCTCCATATTTCTACCAGTGACCAAATATCATTCTACTATCATGGAAGTCTGAATAACTGATAAAATAAAATTGTCTAAAATTAGCCCGCATATGGATGGCCACTATTGCCGTAAACTAGAAAATAGGGTTGAGGTGATATAATATAGATTATCATCATTATAATCATCATCAGTGCCTTATCCCTGTTTTGCCATTCTGCTCTGTCAAGGGCCATACCCTCAGTAATACCAAACATCTTTATATTTTTTCTCACTACTTCCATCCATGTCCTTCTTAGTTGTCCTTGCCCTTTAGACCTTTCACTTGAACCAAATAGTACCTCTTAACTAATGTTGTATTGGGTGTACGTTACACATGGCCCGCCCACCTAGGTCTACTTTCCTTCATCTTATCACCTACTGAAGCCACATCTAAGTTCCCTCGAACGTATTCATTTTATCCTTTCTTGTCTTGTCAATTATCCATAGGTGACATAATATAGACGATTATGTTAAAAGCTACATGCCCAATTTCTTGGAAAAAAGAAATAACTGAATGCAAATCCACATCAAGGTTATTTGACCCAAAACATATCTGACTGGACCTCATTGTCCCATTTCCAATCTTGAGCTGTGTAAAATGCTTAGATGGTAGACCATGAACTCATTCAGATAAGTTAGTAACCTTGTATATGGTTGTAAACTTGTAATTACTGGTCATTCTTCATAATCTGTTGAATGTAATACTGTTTGTAGGAGATTGTGCTTTTAGTCTATTTCTTTGGGAGCTAATATGAGCCTTTTGTCATTTCCTAGCATAGATTTCTGCTTTTGGGGTAATCTTTCATAGTATACATTGCAAAAGTTATGAAGATCCAATGTTGCATCATATTTATGTGATGCAAAATTTTCAGTTTGGACTAAATTCTAATAGTACTGAGCTTAGCCAAAAATAATCAACACATGCCCATCATAGTTATTCCCTAATTTAAACCTTAGAAAACACAACATAAGCTTGAACTGTGTGCTGTCAAGTGCATATTTGGCGGATTTGAAAGTCATCAGACCCAATATTCATCAAGTGGATATCGGAGTGGTGGTCTTACAAGGACCATCCATTGAGAGCCTCCATCTGACTGGCATGCTTTTGGTCCATCACGTGATGATTTCAGGACTCTTAGAGATAGTGATCTTGTAACCTTATTATTGTTTTGTTCTTTTTCTTTAGGTTCATATTGTCATATCTTCATCCTTATAATACTATTGTCATTCTTATACTTGTGTGCAATTGTGCTAATATATAGATACTCCTTTTTATTATTTGTGTATGTGTGTGTGGACGTATGTGTATCACCAAATCAATAAAAAAATCATTTGGGTTCTTTTCACAAGTAGTGCTGTTTATTGATGACTAAATTCATGGATTTGCTGTAATATGATGTTTCATTTCCTTGCATCTATGGATGTACTCGACACAATGTATAAGAAATTGTATGCTTATACTAATTCTATGCTTGAACTAGAGGATTATAAAGGGAACTTATTGATCATTATTCAATATTTTTTGAAACTAGAAAGGAGAAAATTACATGGATAAATGGGAAACAAGATTATTGTGAACCAGGAGTCATACCTGACGGCATCTCTTTCAGATTTCCTTCAGACATGTACTCATAGATGAGAATTTTTTCCTTGCCTTCCTCACTATCAAAGAGACTAAGTACTTGTGATGAACCCTCATCAGCAGTTTGACCTGCATGATCAACTCCCAATGCACATGTTCTCGTTTCTGGTGTACACACACATTTCAGATCATATTTAGTTTTTTATTTTTTCTTTTTTTTTCCCATACAAACCTCAGCGGAGAATCCCCTTGATCCCTGCCTTGATTCTTGGGAGAGTGTCTTCGTATCCATTTTCTAGATGTCCATAGTAAATAGTCCCAAAGCCTACTTTACCGATGACCTTTTCAAAGTTATTGATGATATTTATGATCTCTGCATGTGAAAATGCTCGAGCTTCATCTGGTTCTGATAATTCTCCTTTTTTCCATTTCAAATCCCTCTATACCTGATACAGTTAATGCAGAGTGAGAAGCTAAATGTTTCCTTTTAATATTGGGGAAAACGCTTCCTTTTAATATTTTTGTCTGTCGGGCCCAAGAATTACTAGAATACAGGTCTGAATTGTCATCTGAACTTTTTTGCCTCAAATTTATGGGCAAATTCGCCTTCGTAGTTCTTTAAACTTGCAGTCTTACAAAGATTCCTTAAAACATTTTGAAGTTCTATAGTTTTTAGAAAAATGATCATGTGACTAGATTTTGAGAGACTAAACTACTCGAAATTCATAGATAGGGCTACCTTTTCATTGCCAAATTACAATGGAGCCGTGACCTCCATACTATGGACCTATCACCAATTACCACAATGACAATGCATTTTCATCAACTTGGGAAGGCCTGGCTTTGTGCAAGGACCTAACCTTTGGTGCTATAGGCACAAGGTTGAAAACTTAAAACCATCGATTTTGGCTCATCCACAGAAAAGTTGAGTAGGTAGCAATTGTATGGCTTTTAACGAGGTGATTCCTAGCATTAAAATTGAAATCTTGTCAGCGTTTTTTATTTTTTAAGAATGATCTTTGACAATGGCGGATTTCGCATGTGATGTTCCCTTCATGGAGGTTGCATTTTCCAATTTTCAGGTTTAGTTTCTAGTCTTGGTCTTTCATCTCAGTGTCTTTGTTCAGTAGGATGTTAGGGTCTTGATCTTTATTTACCATTTCATTCTTTCCCTAGAACTATTCAATTACTTACCAAAACCTTTCTGGAAATTGAACTTTTACATGAAGGTTATGAGAGCAATTTGGATGTAGAAAGAAAACCAGTGATTTCTAGGGACATGATTAAATTGCCTGAACTTGTTCTTAGTTTACTAACTAAATTCTTAAAGCATCTTGAATCATAAACTGATGATTGCTCTTTGAGGAAGCAGTGTACAACTTATAATTTTCAAAACAAGTATTCATTCATGTGATGAATGTAACACATACATATTGTAGTGGCAAAACATCTTTTCACAATCATGCTGGCCGCTTTCCCAAAGGAAACTTGTACACAAGCAGCACTTGACTAAAAATCATCATTTGACATGTTGAACTGGCTAATTGCCGATTTGCCCTGGCAGAATGCTATTTTGCCTTGGATGGTATGTAACTAGGAATTCACACCTGGTGCAATAAAGTACTGGTAAGTTAAACTGGAAATGGGACATTATATAGCAATTTTTGGATGTACTATTGGTGCTAAATATATTAGACCAAATGTCAGTGTTGATGAGTAAACTGAAGCTCACCCTGTGTTTTTCTTCTGTTCAATATGAATCCTATGGCCAAAGCAATGAACAAGCAATTGCAGCACCAGTAGATGCAACCGCAATAACCACAGTCTTCTTTTGACTGGTTGGAGATTGTGAGTTGGGGGTTAGAATGTTGGGATTTTCATTGCTACTGCACAAGTTCAAAGACCCAATGAATCAGTTTAACTGATGCATAAATATAACAAAATAGAAATACATTTAAGAATTCTAACCTTAGTAGAAGTGTTCTGCTGGCATTTTTATCTAGCAGTGCCCTTGGAACCTGCCCACTTAGATTATTTCTTGATAAACTCTGTAAATGAAAACCATGCTGATGTATTATATCACGTGTTTTTCTTTTCCTTGCTCTTACACATGCTATATTCGACGACACTTACAATGTTTTTAGTTCCATCAAATCAGCTAGAAATTCTGGTATGGCACCCATCACCTTATTGTTTGATAAATTCCTGGTCCAATAATAGCAAAAAAAACAGAGAAATTACAAGTTCAAGTGCAAGAGATCAATGATTTTACAAGTTCAAGTGCCAGAGAGCCACGATTTATTGAAAATAGTCACTTCTTCGGTAGCACTAGTTATGCCACATTCATGAAATTATTCGAAGTAGTCATTGGAACTTCCAATGTTACAATTCCATTATTTATTGAAAATGAATGCAGTGAATGGGTTGAGAAATGAATGATGTGAATTGGTGGAGAAATGTTGGGGAAATTTTGAGACATATAGCAAGAGTTCTATAAGATAGGTTTTCTTGAAGTTGGTTTTCTAGGTTTCTTGGGTATTGGGAGGAACACACTGAATCTGAATCTTGTATTTACTTCTAGATTTTTTTTTATTTGTTTTTATTTGATATTTCTATAAACTGGAATTGTATATTTTAAGTATAGATTGGTTGGTGATTTTGTTTGCAAAGAGATAAATAATTGTACCCAAGTGACGTTCCCACACCCCACTAGCCTTGAAAGGGCAAGAAGTCGCTTGTTAGCTAACTAGCATAGATAGTAATGTCACTTATGATAAGCATCATAATGCAGAATGCGCTTCTCTCTTGATAGTTTTGCATATGGAATACACTTATTATAAACATCTTAATGGAGTTAACATTTTAAATTCGACTAATATTATGAATGAGCCTATTCTATTGCATGCTTTCTTAGTAGCATGCCCATGAGGTGGAATTGCTCATGTCATGCCCCCTTATTAATGTAATTGAGTCAGGATTTTTATGGTTTTCATGAAGGCACTTTGGTTTAGTGGTGGTTTTGGGAGTTGGATATCTATTTTGTAGATCTGTCCCTTTACTTGGTTATTTTAGTTTATAGTCTTCCAAACTTTTTGTTGGTTATTTTAGTTTATACTCTTCCAAACTTATTGGACTATCATTTCGTATACTCATAATGATCTCTGAATTCAGCTTAGTGTTAACCAGTTTTTTCTGTGGCATTCTATTCCATTATCAGAGATCTGCACACCTCATAGAACCACTTGTTACTTGTCCTTTTAGGCCTCATACATCATGTCCAAAAGGGGAAGATATTTGTGGTAGTATTGCTTACATCTCATTATTTGGAGGTGAAATTTAATTTTGGTTATTAGATATGTTTTGTTCTTTAGAGATGAAATATTTGGCTGTAAATGGGAGAGTGATTGTCATTATATATAAAAGGTTGGTGTTATTATGTTGCTATAAATTTTATGATTTTGTTATGCTCATAATTTGGGGTGTTTCTCCGATAAAAACTTAAAAAATCCTTCAATGGAATTTCAAGTGAGGTTCCTTTTGTGGCTTTGGAAGTCACTTTTTCTCTCTCTTTGATAATTGGCGCAAAACTTGTCCAAGTAAATATTCTTGCAGTTTGAAACTCAATTTCATACAAAAAGTTCCTTATTGCAATGTGCTTGTAGGATCATCTGTGTGAGTAGTTCTAATTACCAAACTTACAAATATTCAAGTGCATTGAGGTTGGCCATAGAAACCGGAATTTCTCCTTCTAATCCACTCGCCGAGAGTTCCCTGCAAATAAAGCACATTGGTTGCCTGCTTTATTATGTTCAAACACAATAATGAAGGAAACCAGGTAGTGAGACAGGTTACTTACAATGATATAATTCTTGAGTCTGGCATCTCATTGCAGGTCAAGGCTTCCCATGGGTAGCCTTGGGGAAGACAAGGATCCCCAACCCAACTCCTATTCTTCAGTCCAAGTTTATCTTTAATATCCAATAGTGCAGTAACTGAGAAATACCACGGTTATATTAGTTGAGTTTTTTCTTTATGTGAGTATGTGTGTGGCTGTGTGTTCATGTAGAAGGGGCATAGCTCAAATAGAAGGCACTTTGTTCATGGCTCCACATACACACACAAATCCATGCATGCATCCACATTATGGGTATATGCACTATGCACAAGTTGTTCATGGTTACACACCATCTTGAGCATTGGTTGCATGTGGAGAAGGTGCATTGGCCACATACAGTTCGACTGCGTTAAGAATAGGAGGGAGATCAGATGACTCAGTTGCCATGATATCAATTATATACCCTTGGGAGCGCAACTCAGGATTAGTCGTGCCCCCCCAAGACAGTCTGTGATCGAGGTTGAATGAGTCGAACCATAGCTCCCGTTGAGATAGATGCTCAGCTTTCGAGTCAAATTCTGGGTGTTGAGTACTTTGGCAAAGAAGAAATAGAAGTAGAAGGGAGAGTTTGGGTTCCATGACGGGGACCCCCAATGGAGGCTTATGTTGTCAGTTTTGTGCATGGGCTGTGCAGCGGTTTGCATGACTTGAATAGGCGGATGGTAGTTGTCGTCAGACTTTATGCTTATGGCAGCTGAAGTATTAAGATTGATCAAGCCATTGAAGGTAGATGGCACCCATATTCGATCGTAAGGGTCTGATTTGTACCTATGAGAAAAACAGAAAAAAGTAGAAATAAGTTTCTCACTAATTTGTTTGATTAGCTTCTCCAAGTATGAAGTCCTTTCCCTGAAATTTATCCTTAATTTTGGGCACTTACATTGAGTAGAACTTTGTTGTAGTCTTGAACTTCTGCCATCTCAGAATTTGAGTTAGACATAAAGAGAAGAACTAGATTAAAATGCATGGTTTGTTTCAAATTTGCCCGAAATTCAACTGATTTAAAGGTCCAAAGTCTGGAATTTGGGTCACTTTCTGCAGCTCCACTCTCTTCCTAGATTTCAATAGGATGTTTTTGTTTATATTTCGTCAAACTTAAGGGTCTTTTTTTTTTTTTGTCATTTACTTTTGGTAGCAAAAGAGTTATTGTGGATTCTTTGTCTAGAATACTTTTTATAAAAAAAAAAATTAGTGTACCAATGGATATGTATATGTGTTTTGTTGTGGGGGAGATAAATCGAGGGAATTATAGCTTGGGTCATGTGCTTTCTAGCTGAGAAGCCAGAAGGTCCTATTTCTTTAAGGGGTAGTTGGAATGAGTTGCACCAGAAACTCTTTGTAAAAGCTTGTTTTCTGAGTTCTCTTTCATCTTTCACGGGAGGATTGACTTTAAAATAATGCTCGAGACACCTTGATCATTCTTGTGGAATACTTGTTCTTTTTTTGTCTTAAAAGTGGTCACTAGGTCTATAAAAAACAATTTGGACGTTTTGAAGTTCTTAAAATCCACTTGACTAGGTTTTTCTTGGCCATCTTACCTCTTGGTATAGTATTGGGCACAGAATCCTCTCCTTCTGAAAATATCATGGTAAAGCATCTCCATAAATATATCAGGTGTTTAAGACATCCAATCTAAATTTTAACTAGTTACTTTATAAAAGGAGTATGACACAACTACTTTTTCCCATTATTTGTATTTTAAATACCTTAATAACCATGGTTCTGACTTCAAAACTCAGAAAAATCGAGGCTATTTACGTAACTTGCTTTGATTTAACCGCTCAAGTCAGTTTACGGCAACGACCCTACTTGTTCTGGGATCTTGAATCCACAAACATTAGGAAAACCAGAGATGAAGGCAAGGTTCTAGCCATCACTAACCTAAGGTTTATAGGCGAAAGGCTCCCTACGTCAAGTCTCCAGTAAGTTGTCAAAGACGACGAACTATTGACTATAGTATACATGTTGTCAGGCAATATCCGAAGCTCTAATGCAGATATGAAACGTGTCCCAAGGCCTATATTCACTAGACATATAGCCATAGAATTCGCCTTACTCAAGCTGATAATCTCAGTCCATACTAGATCATAGAAACTCTTAAATCTCACATTATACCAGAAGTCCACTCCGAAGTACAGGTCGAACTTAGGCAACTTGAAGATGGAATCATAGTTTGCATGCAAGAACCAAGCCCTGATCAGATATCGGCGGTTATTGATCAAGCCAGTCACAATTCCTTTGTCCATGTTTAAACATTCGAAGATGCTGGTACTGCATCGGTTGAGTGCTATCATCGATTGGCATAACTTCTCCGGTATCTACATAATTTACATCGGAAGTATAAATGATAGTGGTGTTTGGATCCTGGTAGCTCCCTCCAAGATGTCCACAATCCATGCTTATGAATCCTGAATCAAATCACACACTTAATCTCGATGTGCTTTATGCATTCTAAAAGCGCTTCATGTTCCAACTTTTTTTTTTTTTTCAGTTTTTTAAATCACAAATGTTAACACATCACTCATGTTAAATTTTGATAAATTTCCCGTCTCGAAAAGCATACTATGGTGCAGATTTGAAAACCAAGGTTATACGGTGATGGAAAGAAATTGAGACCTACCGCTTGGTCAAATGTCATGTTTTTTATTGATTCTCTTCATGTCTCCCATCTATCAAGTTACTGGGCCGTCAAATGTTGGAAATATGGGACTAGATTAATTTTATTTTTAGTTTTTAATTTAAAGTACTCTGATGTTTTGAAAAATCGGACTAGTGTACTTCGACAAATTTTTTTTACTGATGATACATTTGGTATATGTGAAAATACTTCCGTGAAAGTATTTTCATATGAAAACTCCCTCATGTGATTGAGATAAACGATCGTAATGTATACGATCCCTTTGAAATATGGCTGTAAAGCCTGTTATAATTGATGATACAATGTTAATGGCCCTTGGCTATCATCATGGAGTAATGATTTTCTCTAACCACAATCCATAACTACAAATGCTAGTGGTACCTTTAGGTTTAGACTAGGCCCCGAGGTGCTCTTCTCCCCTTTAACCATCAGTAACCTTTTCAACTTGTTTAAACAATGAGATATAGAGTATTTTTATGATATAAAGATATAAAGAAATAAAGTAGGGAAAATATCAATAAAGTGGTTATATCAACTAATATACTAATAAACTCGTTACTCTACTCAACTTACTTCACTTAGGTACTTCCTGGTTCCAGGTACGGAACCCTAGGGTTGGCAATGGGTTGGGTCGGGATCTACCCAGACCCCACCGGACTAGGTCCCACCTAGACTTGGTTCTAAAAATTTTAAAAATAAAAATTTATTTTATATGTTATTTAGTGTATAATTTATATTTTATACATATTTTATTCTAGGTCAGGTCGGGTCAGGTTTGGTCAACCTCAATCCTTCCAAAACATGGACTGGGACCTGTTCGGCCCGACTCAATTGCCACCCTTACAAAACCCTGAGGTAGTGAGCATATTTTATAATTATTGCACTTAAGGTACTTGAGCCAAATGATCTAACACCTTTGCATATTTTAGGTTTCTAAACCTAGAACATGTTTTTATCATTAAAAAACTTGTTTTGGCTTTTGAACTAAGAACAACCATGAGTATTTATGTCATTTGAATTGGGTGACTCAAGTTAGGCTAAATTAATAAAGTTCCCCACTTGTTTTAGGTTCCAAACTCTGAATAAATTTTTTTTAGTGAAAACCATATTTTGGGTTTTAAATTTTTTTTAGTGAAAACCATATTTTGGGTTTAAAACTCAAGCTTAGATATTTAGGGCATGGGTCAAATTACCAAGATAAGCTGGCTTGTTCAGGGCTACAATTTGCAACTTACATATCTGAAATAAGGGCAATCTGGGCATTATGTCACAACATCTCAAGGAGGAATCTAAATGGGAAAAACTCTTAAACAGTAATTAATTTGTTGTAAAACCTTCTATATAACCACCTCATTGATTTTTTTGTGGAGTTTTAACCATTTTAATGATAATTTTCCCAAAAAAATGTTGTTATGTATCTGATAACATGGTGTGGAATAATTTGTTGCTTTGGGTTCATAGAGCAATATAGAGATGACAAAATTGTTTGAATTCATTTCCAAAGGAGGTATCCAATAATTTCCCAATGTCAAGCTTGCAAATTACATAAAAATTTCAGGAAATTAGTCGAAAGAATTGTAAGTTGCTTGTATGCACCTTCTTGTCAGTATAATAAGCACAAGAAATGCAGAGACAAAATTAGCCTCCTCCTCTCCATTTCTTCTCATCAATGACCCAAGATAAGCTCTATATTATATAACATGAGGCTAATATGGAGGTTCATGATTTTTATCAGGAAAATAAGGATAATTTTTTAATAAGAATGTGCCTTTGAAAATGAGGCATAAGATGAGAGGTTTTGTCATTTCACTATCATTTGAATTGGTCACAGAAGATCAATCTAGATGTCATTTAGATTTGAATTGGTCAACTATGGTATTCTAATAAACAATATCTTGTGATAATAAGTTTCTCTAAGAAGGAAAATGAGAAGTTTAGTTTTAGGCATAAACTTATGAACATGGTTTTGGTGAGTCAGCTAACTCACTACTGTTATGCGGTCCCTCATGCATTAAATGACCATCTCTAAGATGGACGTCAAATAATAGTGCATCCACAAAAAGTTAAAATCGATAGTTGGAAAAGCAATTTGAATTACAGTATTTATACCAGTTGAGATATCGTATGGCTGAAAATTAGTCTCATATTTTATTTTTTATATTTCATTTAAATAAGATACTTATCTAAGCACGCTTCAATCTAAACCATTGATTTAGGCGCCCACATCATGTGGACGGAATACCAACCCTTCATTAATAGCTAGAATGAGTAGATAGCTTCTTCATAATTACGGGTCCAAAAATTGTTTGCATACATACATTTTGCTCTCATAAAAGCTAGTGTTGGTAATCAGGTCGGGTCGACCCGTGGACTCTGCAAGACAACCCTAATTGGACTCTGCAAGACAACCCTAATTGGAAGCGGATATGAATTGAGCTTCTAGATGCAACGGTTCAGGTCTGGGTCCAAAAGCGTGGACCCAAAACTTAGGCTTGGCCCACCGGGCCTACTATATTCTATATTTAATAATATACAAAAAATAAAATTTTATATTTCATCTAGCTTTTTATTTTTGATATTTTCATCCATTTTTTATGAAATTAGAGAGAGACAAAAAAATGAGGGGCCAGCAAAGAGGTGTTATGAGGGCGGCGGGTCGATACTTGACCTGGTAAAAACCCTTCATGTCCGAGTCAGCCAACTAAAAAGGACATTGGGAAAATGGGACAGTGACCCTACACAGTTTTGTAAACCAAACCGCGGTCCCACATCAATGACAATTTGAGGAAAATAGGAAAGTGCCCTCATGACAATATTTATTCCAAGAGTGCCATTGGTCAATTATAATGTATAGACAAACTGCCATCCATCGATTTCATTACACCTTTTTTTTTAGGACCGATTCTATGAGTCGATGTAGAAATGAGGTGCCTATTAAAAATATATTTTTGAGATGGATTTTTTGACGTAATTTTTAAGGATATGTAATCTCTAACATGGAGATTATGAATATGAAAAAATAAATAAATTTTGAAAATTAAAAACATTAATTCTGTTAAGAAAATATTTGGATTGTTAGTTTCAATTGTTTTTAGATGGACCACCTATTTGCATCCATCTTTAAGATGGATGCTTTATACCTCTGAACCGCATATGTAGAAATACGGTCCAGCCGTATGAAACAATTTTTTTTGTTTTTTTTGGAACCTTTATGTCTATTAAATGACACTCTTAAAATCACACATTTTGAAATTTAAGGGGCAAGAATAATTGTAAACTTCCACGTACAAAAGATAAATGGTCTCTTTGTAAATAATCTCTAGATTTAAAAAAAATAAATAAGTGATATGATGGGACCACCAAATTGGATATCTGTTCCCATAAATCAGACACCAAATTTGGGGGTTTTCTTGGTCTCTAAAGCTCTTGAATAAATATCTCAAATTAAAGTACCTTCTAAGGATGAATTTGGACCGGTAATTTGAGGCCCAATCTGGGGAGTTGTGTGCCAGCACATATTTTAGATCACAAAATTGATGAAGTCAATTTGAAAATTTTGGCATCATGAAAATTCCCCAACATACTTTGGCCATCGGACCACATGCCACAAGTGGAGATAGGAAAAAGACAGAGTCTAGCTCTCAACATCTAGAGAAACTAAGTGCGATTGATAAATAATATAAAGGAAAAACTTCACATAAGGCGTCCACCTTATACTATAAAAGTGAGGCATGCCCCAAGAAAATACTAAAAAAGATTGTTCTAATGTCGAAAAGGCATTAAATTGATTATCTCTACCTCAAGATTTATGGACAAAAAGCAATAAAAAAATAGTGCATCTTGGATCATTTTATATTTGTCAGATCGGTGTTTCGAAATTACCCCCAATAGCTTTTTCTCATCGTTAAGAGTATTTTTTAGTCATTGTGAAAGGCACTTTAAAATGGGGCATTATAAGCTATTTTGGAGAGTGCGTGTGAAGGATAGCTCTTGATGAGGTTGAGATTGGGGGTTTTGTACCCTATTTTGGGTGGTTTCATTGTGATTTTCTATTATAGATAGAACCTTAAAGTTAAGGGAAGTTTTGATGGTTCTTTTGTGGTAGTCAAAAGAAAAATTTATGGTGTTTTACTAATTGCAAGGTAACCATTGTATTTACCCCATTTTGTAATTCTTTTATAATAATAAAATCATTTTATTCCCAGTTGTCCATAGATGTAGCCCAAATAGGCTAAATCACGTATGTTTGCATGTTGATAGTGTTTAGATTATGATTTGTAAATTGTTGTGGTTTTGAGTTTTTTCGATTTCGCATCTTTTGGTTTCATATTATTTTTCTTGAAAATTTATTGTAACAAATATATTCTGAGGTTTGTTGGAGTGTTAAAATTGATTTACAAGTGCTAAGTGAGTGAGTTAGATGTGGAGATTAGTTGTAGTGAGGGATTCATGCAAACATGGGCAATCGAGAAAGTCAACTTCCAACCAGTTGTATCAAAGCTCAAGGGAAGTGTGTAATAATTTGAGAAAATAACAAGTTACTAATTTGAAGTAGAGAAGTTTGATGGAAAGATAATTTTAAATTTTAGAAAATAAAAATTTAAGATATATTGGTGCAACAAGGTCAATATAAAGCATTACAAGGAAAATAAAAAAAAGTGAATAATATAAAGGAAGATGATTGTGAAGAATTTGATAGGAAGACGCTTGCTAATATTTTCTTGTGTTTATCAAATAAAATAATAGTGGGAGAAATGATGGCAGAGGATTTTTGAGCAATGTTAGGAAGCTTGTTCTAAACCATATCCCTCACAAGTAGAATTTTCTTTTAAAAACAAAAATTGTATTCCTTGAGGATGAAACAAGTTGAAAGTGTCAAAGTGCTTAAATGAATTCAAAAACATAAATTTGTCAACTCAAGATTATTAGGGTGAAGATAAATGAAAAAGATAAGGCGGTGATATTGATTTAATCATTACCGGAGTCTTATGATAACTTTTTTATTGCCTTGAATTGTAAGAATGAGGAATCCCTGAAAATAGATTCATTTTGTAATGCTTTCTTTGCCGGTGAACTTCGAAAGAAGGTATAGACGGATAGTTTGATGGTTCAAGAAGGGATGTACTTGTCGGAAGAGGTCCGTCAAATAAAAAGGGTGGTTTACCAAGAAGTTTCTCAAGTGGTACGGCTTATCTCCTATCAAAGTCAAGATCTTATGACAAAAGTGATTGTTGATTTTGTGGCAAGCCCAACCACAAAAAGAAATATTGTTGGGAGAAAAGGGTAAATTCTTTGAAGGGTTTAGGTTTGATAATGAAATGGCAAGGTGAAGCCAAGAATAAGATTCACTTGGTTAAAAAAAGAACATTCAGCTATTAAAGATGAGGTGTTGATGGTAGGATGCAATCTTACGTACTAACACAGTTGGATTCGTAATACTGGTGTCTGCCCAAATAGATAAAGGGTTGATGCATATAAGCTATGTGAGAGGGTATGTTAGAATTAATGGAAAACAACTTAATGACTAACGCAATTGGAATAGGTTCGATCTGCATAAGAATGCATGCTGGAGTGGTTTAAACTTTTGAAAATGTGAAGCATGTGTCAAGATTAAAAATACCTTCGTTTCGCTTTCTTCTCTAAATATGAAAGGTTTCAAATTTACTAGAAAAGCTGGAACACTCAAAGTTTGAAAAGAGGTTCTAGTTATGTGAAGTGTGTTTGGGAAGGAAATGTGTAAATTGTTAGGAAATACAATTGCCAAAGTAAATTTGGTTGAAGAGAAAGATAAAACTCAAAATAGGGAATGTGATTTGACAATGAAATATCTTAACGGTGAAAGCAAGGCCTTGGCAAAGATGTCGTTGAAGAGGTTGCATCCCCAAAATTTAAAGCCCTAAAGTTAATCTTAGATGGGATTTTACCCTAAGAAATAAATAGGCAGTATACTCCTGCAGGAATACAATATCTTTAAGCTTTGTTTTGTTTTGGGATGAGACGAGGATTTTCTTTGACAAACCATGGTGGGCTTTTGAGAGGAATGGCAACATCGTAATTTCTCTTCATCTTTGGGTAGTTTTGTCTCCAAGGCCTTTGGTATATTCTATAAACCAAACCTAACCAAACCAAATCAAATGAAGTTTCATGCGGATGGGTAGCAGAGTTGTGATGGCGCAAAAGTGAGAGGAGTTTTAGAAATCATGGAAAACTGATGAAGAAATCATAGTGCAGGAAACAGATCTCT